AGGATTACGGCATGCAGGACTATGAGTACACCCCCCCCCCCCCGTACATGAAGAATTCGTGATGCATGGGCCACAGGGCAGCATCGCCTTCCGCGCGGTGGATAAGTTACCCCCAACGTGGTGGCAGGCTCAATCATGGTCTTGGGCGCGGTACGTGAGAACATGTGGTATTACACGTGTGTATCCATCCATGTGGTGACTTGTTGAATGTTGGGTTGTTGGGGAGTGGCGTCACACACCGAGAATCGGCGTGCACGCAACGTCCTGGAAGTTCATCCTCGCGTGGGCAACCAACATCTAGCTAGGGTTGCGTATGACCCTCAGCTTTCGTTTGTTCGGGGGGGCAGGAGTGTGTTTTGAACACAGCACTCGGAAAACGTGACGCGCGCACGCATCATTGCTGTGGGCCAGCAAAGAAGCACGGAAGTTTTTCCCAACACCCTGCGCGACGAACGCGGTGCTACGGAAAGCAAGTTTCCAGGAGAACACAATCACGTTTCTAGGCGGTCCTTTCGCTGCCCCGGACTGCCGTCCATCCTCACACTTTCCCCTCTGCAATCGTGCACCCACATACCAACGCGTCCGCGTCTGTCTCTGCGCTTCTTGCCTCTAACTCTCTGTCCCTCTTTTTCTGTATCTCTTCCCCTGTCTGTCTGTCTGTCTGTCTGTCTGTCTCTCTCTCTCTCTCTCTCTCTCTCTCTCTCTCTGTCTCTCTCTCTCTCTCTCTCTCTCTCTTCTCTCTCTCTCTCTCTTTCTCCCCCTCTGTCTGTCTGTGCTGCCTGTCTGTACCTTTGTCTGTCTGTACGTCTGTCTGTACGCCTGTCTGTCTATCTGTCTGCCTGTCTGCCTGTCTGCCTCCTTCCCCCTCCTGTTCCTTGCTCTGCTCTCTTTGTCTACTCTCCGCTATCGTACGTTCCGAACGATTGGCGCGTGCTCGTCCCCTCGTCATCGTCGTGTGACCTTCACATTCTGGTTCGACCAGCTCATAGCGTTCAAGGAACAGATGCTGATGCGAGTCGTGCCCACCCTCAGCGAGGTGTGGAAGGGAGAGGACCCCAAGGTTGGTTTGCAGGGCGACAAACAGATCGTGAGGACGAGGGAGGGGTGGGGGTGCGTTTTGTTCGGTCGTTTTCGCTGCTCCTCCGTCCCTGCTGTGTGTTTCTTCTCCGATGATCTCAATCAAGATAGGAACGAGTTGGATCTTGTGTCCGATAGCCAAACAAGCAGCGGCTGCGCGATACGCGTGTGCAAGCGAAAATGAGGCAACGCACTGAGTATGTGCACCCCTCAACCAAACCCAGTGCTTTGAATCAGGCCTTTTGTCTTCCTGCCCCACGACGTATTTGTACCCGGCTGAAAGAGCACTCCGGGACGGTGCTTCGGCGCTGTACGCTGAAGCTTCACTTACGATCGCTCCCGCGTAATTGAACTGGACAACACTGATGTCATTTTTTTTCTTCTTCTTTGTGTACCGTCCTTTCCAGGAGCAATCCGAGGAGGCGAGGCAGGCAGCCAGGCTGCAGCAGCAGCAGCAGCAACAGCAGAGGACGGGGGGCAAGGCTGGCGCAAGCCGGAAGCGGAAGGTCTCGGCGGAAATCTTCGAGAAGTACGGCTGGAATAAAATGGAGTCCCATTTTCCGATCCTGTAACGGGGCGCGCAAGCCTTTGGCGGTTTGGGCCGAAGTTTGGGTCTACTTGTTTCTCTTTGCATGCAGTTGGAGCAAGAGCGTCGTAGGGACCTGCTGTAGCGCTGAGTACACCAACCTTGTTTGTGTATGGATGTGCGTGGCTGTGTTCATCAAGTCATAGCGCCAAACCGCGCGAAAACCCGCTCACCAATGAAAATCGTATGTGACGGGGGCGCGAGATTATGCGCTCGAAAGGAATTGGCGCAAACGTTTATTCCAAGTATTGCTCGCCGCCGACGCGAGTTTGATTTTTGACATCGCGTCACGCGCGCGATGCCATTGAGTGCCATACATATTTAATCACACTGTTCTTGAGACATGCCCGACGTTTCGCAGTCTACGAACCTACTCTACCATCGGTGTTGAGGGCTGAACCGTTTGGTCGGATGTTTGCGAGGGCGGGGGGGGGGGGGGATTGGTTTCCAATCGCGACGCACGAGCACTTCATGTGATGCACCCATGTTGAGTAACAACCCTGCTAGGCTACTGCTGTAGGTGCACCCGCGTTACACGCAGCGCTTTCGATGTACGCGCGTTTGTCGCGCATTCACGAGCGAAGCGCGGAAGGCATGTAGAGAGGAAGAACGTACGTATTTTTTGGGTAGAGGGCAGCAGACCTCAATGAGCAAGTTTTGAGGACTTTCATGGCTAGATAGACTTTTCATAGCACCAAAGTACAGATGGTCTCGTGCAGCAATTTTCGTGTCTTGATGAATTTATGTCGCGGTCAGCCGATTTGGTTTTCTCCCCCATCTTTTGCCCAGATGGCACCTGTTCAGACTGCGCTTTCTCTGATGTCTTTTTATGGTTTAACGGCTGTTCTCTCCCCCTGAATGGTGTGCTGCGTTGTTGTTGGCCTCGTTTTGTATTTAATATCGAAGGCTAGTGATACCGTTGTTTACGAAACACAAATAACTAGATAGGTCTCCAGCCTGCCTTACTTTCTTACATCCCGTGTCTCGAAATACGTACTTGTTGGAAGCGGGAGTGAACGCTGAGCGCAAGCGTCCGACGTGATGTGAGGCTGTTGTTGGATAGACGTGCACCATTGCCGTCGATGATGATCGGGGTCTGTTGTATGTATCACAGGGTGGAAATCGCTGGAGAGTTTTGCCTGACCGAGAATTGGCTCAGAGAGATGAATGAGAGTGAACGGTGAACCTACAGAACGAAGTTAGTGAACCTTCGCACATGATGGTTTGGAAGCTGACGTCGATAGGGTTTTGTCGGTGACACACAACACACAGAGAGAAGCGTTGGCTGCTGGTACGAAGCCGCCATCCAAGATGCTGTGGCGTTATTGGACGTGCATAGTAAGACCTAAAGGCAGGAGAGTGACGACTGCGACTGTTGTGTTGACGTTGCCTGACAGCACGACCACCAGGAGGACTCCCTGGATTTCGGTGCTCATGTTGGTTCTGTTTTCCACAACGTATTCGTAGGGCAGCACCAGTGCACGACCCAGTTGGCACCGTTGTACCAAATGAAAAGCCACACGAGAAAAAGGGACAGGCGCCCGCCCTTGCCCCGTGTGGACTTGGGAGCAGGCCAACCGACGCTTTGACGGACATCTGCTGACGTGTCCAGAACCATTCCTCTCAGGTTCTTATCCCTTTGCCGAAAGCAAAATGACAAGTCTTGCCCACGACGCATCTTCATGCGGTAGCTTTTGGTGGGCAGGTGTACACCGACGTGCGCCGGGACGGGATCGAACTACGTCGAGGTTGGTTTGTGTGGTGTGGTGCTGAAGTCAGATTGCCGTGTCGACTAAGTGTCTTTCCAAGAGGCAAGGGGACATGACGTCACGGCATACTGCAGCAACTGAGCCTGTGTTGGGCAGCAAGCAGCGAGCGCTTTCTGACTGCCGTTTGGTGTTGGCGTTGGTTGGGGAAACATAAATAAATCCATGAATCGGGAAAATCCATGAATCGGGACTAGGGTAGTCGGCTGTTCGTAAGCACGGTTTGAACTTTTTCTCCCGGTAACTCGCCTCCCAAGACCTTACCCGTACCCCGCCCCCCCCCCCCCCC